CGCAACCTCCGCCTCCTGGGTTCAGGCAATTCTCCTGCCTCAGCCTCCTGAGTAGCTGGGATTACAGGCACGCGCCACCATGCCCAGCTAATTTTTTTGTATTTTTACTAGAGACGGGGTTTCACCATGTTGACCAGGATGGTCTCAATCTCTTGACCTTGTGATCCACCGCGCCCGGCTGAATGTGCATTTTTAACAAGTGCTGGGGGTGACAACTGCAGCTGCTGCTGGCCTGGGAAACCACTGCCCTAGCACATAGCTGCAGTGTGGGAGTTACTATCCCATTTTACTGAGGAAATGGTACCCAGTCCCTGGCTGTCATGGGCACTGTGCTGCCTTCCTGTTGTGTCTCACCAGTCCCTGCCCACGTAGTTGCTCACTGACTGTGGCCAAGTGAGTGTCATCAGAGGGAGGAAGAAGAGTTCCCAGAGTGGAAACCCTGGGCTGTAAGCCCGGCTCTGCCATCTCCCATCTGTCAAGCAGCAGGCAAGCTTAGTCTGAGTCTGTTTCCTCTGATGTAAAATGGGGAAAAGGGTGTTTGTTCACTTCTCCAACCCTGTCAGCCTAGTAGCTCTGTGCCCACAGTAGGTTTTCTATGAGGACCTCTGTCTGATGCCCTTGAGTGGCAGATACTTGGGACTGAAGGAGGACTTCTGGTCCTAGATGCTCCAGTCCTACACCCTGACAGCCACAGTGGGTACCCACCTGTCTCACCACCTCCAAGGCAGCTGACAGCTTTCCTGGTACAAGCTTGCAGCGGGGAAAGGGGAGTGGTATGGGAAAAAAAAGACTAAGGCTACAATCACAAATTTTAAATGCACACCTTTGCCAGTTATGAAAATTGTGTAGCAAAGAGAAAGGAGTGGAGAGTTTACCAGCCAAGGGCCGCAGGACCCCAACACCCAAGTTTCTTAGAACATTCATTGCAGGTTCTCTTTTATACTAGCAAAGTCCTCCCACCCCATCCCCCACCAACCACAGCTTCCAGGAATCACTGAGATTCACAGATAAGGGAAGTAAACTCAATTTAGAACACAGTTAAGTTGAAAAGAGATTCTAATGCACATGTTACAAACAAGCAAGTCCCAGGAATCATTCAGGAGAAAAAGGCAGAATGACACTGAAATCCATCATGATGGTTATCCCAGGGAGTAAAGCCTTCAAGATCTCCTTGTCAGATGAGACTTTTAGAAGAGGTGACCTGACGTTCTGTTGACTGAGAAGAGCTGATGTCATCCTCAGAGCCCAGGTGATACACACATTCCTGGATTTGGCCACAGGGTGGATGGTGGTGCCCTCAGCTGAGATGGGAAGAGGGGGCAGGGCAGTTCTGGGTGTGGGTGGAATTGGGGGTGGAATTGGGGGTTGAAGAGAAGCAAAGTTCAGCAGTTTTGGATGCAGCAACTAAGGTGTCCGCGGGAATGGATGGGAAGGCAGCTCTAACAAGGGTTTGAGGTCACTCAGGCTCTCTGGGTGGCAGACATGGCCTCGGTGATCCATTTACTACTGAGAGGACAGTGAGTGGCCCTGGGCTGCCTCCCACAGTGGCTGGCTCTTACCTAGGGCACCTGGCGGATGCTCTATCCCTCAGGTTTCACTTTTCGCCATGAGATATTGGCTCCTTTAAATTTCTGCCTGGGTCCTATTTTAAAAGTGGCTCTGCTGGATGGACAAGAGGTGGAAGGCAATTTGGAATGAGCAAAAGAGATTCTAGTTGTCTTCAGTAGAAAACTATGCATTGGGGCTGGGTGTGGTGGCTCACTCCTGTAATCCCAACACTTTGGGAGGCCAAGGCAGGCAGATCACCTGAGGTCAGGAGTTTGAGACCATACTGGCCAACACAGTGAAACGCTTTATCTGCTAAAAATACAATAATTAGCCAGGCGTGGTGGTATGCACCTGTAATCCCAGCTACTCAGGAGGCTGAGGCACGAGAATCACTGGAACCCAGGAGGCAGAGGTTGCAGTGAGGCAGAGATTGCATCACTGCACTCCAGCCTGGGCGATAAGAGTGAAACTCGATCTCAAAAGAAAAAATAAAAAGAAAACTATGCATTGCTTAGGGCGCACCCCTCCAGTTATCTGATTCTAGACTTTCATTGCCTTTGAGCGATTTTTACAACTCTCTAAGTTGTAGAGTTAATGCAAAATAATTCTTTTCTATGGATATGCATATAATATATATGAATGAGATTCAATTGACCTTTCTCCTCCAAAACAAAACAAAACAAAAGAAACCCAGCCAGTTTCAACATTCCTTTACTCCATATAGATTTATGGTTCATTGTGATTTCTCTTTTGAACTGGCTGTTAATCTCAGCGACACTCTCAATTGAGTTAAATAAAATCTTAGACATGTGTATATGTAATATTTATGAGTCATGTCTTTTTTTAAAAAAATTATATTTAACAGCAGGCATGGGAAGGACCAATACAACTCAGAGATGGAAAGGCTTGCCGTGGTCCACGCAGCACAAAGCCCATCCCCAGTCATATCATCCCAAGGGTGTAGCCTGGGCTTGCATACCTCCAAGGACAGGGTGCTCAGTCCCTGCTAGAGGCCACTTCACTTCTTCCTGTATTAGATCACAGCTATGACTTTAAAAACAAAAATGAGTACAAATCTAAAACTAGAAGAAAACACTATGGTCCTCCCAGACAGCTGAGTGCTTGGGCCTAAATCAGCATCTACACGCACGACCTGCAACCCTGGGTTCTGTGCAAAGGCGGTGTGGCTGAAATGGCTGCAGGTGGAGTGAGGAGAGAGGAAAACACAAGCTCGTGGTGACACTCCACTGCCTCAGAACAAAACCCTGGCTTTTCCTGACCTTCCAAGCAGGGTGACTGTGTGTATTTTCAAATATCAGGTTTTTCTCAGGGCACCAGGGCAAGCCAAGCAAGGCCCACACACGCTAGTCTCACAGAGGTCCTGTAGCACCGGCCCCAGGTTCCCAGCCCTGCCAAGCTGTCCTCACAGAGATGGACACCCTTCCTCATGGGAGGCACAGAGGAGCACCTGGTCCCACTCTGAGACCTCAGGCAAGTCCCGGCACATCCCAGGGCCTCTGTTCTCCTTACACGTGGGACCAGATGGGGTCCACCAACTGTCCAAACATGATATCCTGCCATCTTCAGAGCACATTAGCCCCAGCACTATGCTCACAATAATCCCTTCTCCCCACAGACCATCCCTCCTGGCCCCCAGGCCTCTGTGGCCTACCCTGGCCCCTTGACAGGTGATGGCCACTCTGCTCCTTCTGGGAGCTCCCTGGAAACTTTGGTTGTGTTGGTTTCTGGTAGGATCTGCACTCCAAGCAAGAAGCAACACCCTGCTTTGCCTCCCCACCTCTATGGCACAAAAGTAAACAGACCTTGAACTCCAAATGCCTGCTGAGGCTTGCCGCAGACCTCGAAGCCTTGTTCCTAATGGGACAGGGAAGTGGACCATTTCATTTCAGTGTGGTTCAAAGCTTGAGCTGACATGTGACCCAGGCAGCTCTCTTGCAGGGACTGGCAGCCACAGATAAACTCCCCCAGTCATTAAGATTATGTTAGCAATAATTCAGGAGACGCATATTAGATAATCTGGATCTTTGTTAGATGCTTTACCCATCTCAACTCATTTAATCCTTGAAACCTCACGGGGGTAGGAAGTTTTATCACCCCACACCCACACACACCAGCAATGGTCAGGCAGCACAGGCACACCCTAGCCCTGAGCACCTAGTCATTCAAATGTGGGCCCACCTCCCTGGAGAACTCCTCTAAAAACACCATAAGAAGTAATTCCAATAACAAAACACTGTACAGTTGTTGTTTCTATAAGCCCTTGTAAGAGCAAAACCCTGCACACAACTGTTACACCCATCCACAGAAGCGCGATGGGAATAGTTGGCAGCATCCCCAATGTTCATCCCGCTCCTGGAGGATGCTGCATTTCACAGCTGCATGATTTCAGTGGAATGATGAACCATGAAGAGGAGAGTGTCCGGGGGTCCCTTCCCTTGCTGGCTTCACCAGCACATCACCCCCAACAAGGGGAGGCTCGGGGTTTGCCGGGATAGACTCCTTCCCTCCACCATAGGTGAAGGGGATGCTGTGGAAGGCAGAGCAGAGAGAAAAGGAAACAAGATCCTGTTGGCGTCAGAGTCATTTGGATCAACCCAACCCTGAAACTCACCCCACCTTTGGACTTTCCAGTTTCAGGAGCCAAAACCTCCCCTCATTGTTTAGACCAGTTTGAATTGGGTTTTCTATTACCTGTGACTGTAAACGTACTCCTCTGGTACAAAGGCGAGGCCCATCTGCTCTTGGCACGCTCCTACAACCCATGGTGTGACCGTGAAAATGCACTGTGGATCAGTATATTAAGTAACATCTATAAAATACTATGTAAAATGATTCCATGTGTGTGATGACCTGAGTATATGCATGGGCATTTTCAGGAAGGATTCCTAGTAGTAGTTACCTCTGGGGAACAGAAGACATACTTTCACTTTTCATTTTACATTCTATGTTTAGATTTTTATTTAAGTATACTTTTTTAAAAGACTAGTTTAAAAGTTGTTTGAGGTGACAAAATTATGGTCCAAGGTGATAATTTATTCTGGTAGTTTTTTTTAATTTTATTTTTTAAGTTGGAGCGTCCTCTGTCACCCAGGCTGGAGTGCAGTGGCTTGATCTTGGCTCACTGCAACCTCCGCCTCCCAGGTTCAAGTGATTCTCCTGCCTCAGCCTCCCAAGCAGCTGGGACAACAAGCATGCATTATCATGCCCAGCCAATTTTTGTATTTTTAGTAGAGCTGGGGTATCACCATGTTGGCTGGGCTGGTCTTGAATTCCTGGCCTCAAGTGATCCGCCTGCCTTGGCCTCCGAAGTGCTGGGATTACAGGTGTGAGCCACTTGCGCCCGGCCAGTTCTGACAGTTACTACCATGCATTGGAAGCCCCTGATGGAATATAAGATGCAGCGCACAAAAAGAAAGCTGAGTGAAGAAAAAATTGTTTCAGACCCTTGTAAGGAATACTCATGTCCACCTTCCCAAAGCTGGGCTCACTGAAGTTGGCAATTTCATCAAAACAGTATCCACTTATGTACCCTTAACTTCTTCTTCCAAAGTTACACAGTAGTTCCAAGTTCTACAATGCCCACTTCACGTTTTCCTGAGGCACCCTGGAGACGCCAAAAACATTTGAGAATGAACGTGCCTTTAATGCAGCCTTGAACATGAATGGCCAAGCCTTGCCAACTTGATAAGGAGCTAAAAAGGCTCTAAAGGTGTATGGCTCCCCAGATTTCTGGAAGGCATCTAGATGAATGAGGACACGGCTGCAGATGGTCACCTGCCCTGGAAGGCCGGGCAGCATCCTCCCGGGCACGACAGACACAAGCACAGGGAGGTGTCCCTACCAAGATCCATCATGGGGGACAGGTTCCCATAGCCCCAAACACACAACCTAAAAACCCTGTGATTTTGTGGACAGACACCCCATTGACCATAGAGCTGGAAATGCCCACCCATGAAGGTCATTCAGCACTCCACCACCCACCCTCACCCAGCACAGCTGAAAGCTTTGAACCAGTGGGCGACAGGCTGATGCACCTGATACCTGGGCAGAGACCTTCCCATGAGAGCAGGATGCCTTAGGTGCCAAGACCACTGCTACTTCTCTCCTTTCTCTGCAGTCTATATTCCTCTGAGACTGCTGGCTGAGAAACCATCAGGTGGGCTCCCTGTTGAGACTGAGACCCTCTCTGCTGCTGGGACCAACATTGCAGCCATCTACACTCACATGCGTGCCTGTCACCTCCCCAGTGGCCTCTGGGTATCTCCTGGAGAAATTCTATGTTCCAGGAAGGTTCTGTATCCATCAATTGTCATTGATGTTCATGGAGAAACTGAGTGCCAGGTTTCTTGTGGACCGTGCAGATGGGTTTTTCTGCCCAGCCCACAGCCCTGTCCTGTGGGAAGTGGGATTCCCTGGAGGCCAGTAAGGACAGCTGCAGTGGAGTCCTGAGCAGACAGATGAGAGAGGTCAGAGAACTGGCAAGCCAGGGCCTCTGAAGCAGAGGACTTTCAGGAGGTGCGGTGTCCAGTGCTACAGAGGCCAAAGGAAGGTCTGGGTTGACAGCTGGGATAGGCAGCTTTCAGCTACATGCAGTGTGGTGGGTGGTGGAAAGGAGGGGTACAAGCAACCCAGATAAGAAGCTACCTGGGAAAAAAAGGGAGGCAGCCACAGGGCCACAGCAAGTTTTTAGGATGGGGAAAGGCAGGCTAGTGACAGGAATAGGGGACGGGAAAAATAACGTGGCAAGATCCTGAAAGGGGGTGGACCGGGATCGGGGAGGGGGTACAGGAAGGAACCCAAGACTTTAAAGTGAGTATGTGCATGGTGGGGTGAGGACAGGGTGCAGATGCCACAGCAGACCTCCAACCAGGGAAGGTGGGGATTCAGGGCAGGCCAGTGCTGGGTGGGGAGCGCACAGGAGGCCTGCCCTGTGCCTCTGTGCAGACAGCCCATCCTGGGTGGAGACCGCCACATGCCCGGCTCTCATCCTTGCTTTCCTTCCATTCCTCATCCAATTATTCAGTCACATGACATGGCCGAAAATGGCAAAAGACAAACCCAACTCTGCAGAAGTCACACTTAGACTTCATCCTGAACTAGGTCTACAGAAATAGAAGGGTCAGGCCTGCAGGAGCCTTCCAGGAGGTTTTAGCGCCAACACACTAGCAGGCAGGGTCTGCGGCCACCCACTTCCCCATGGGAGGCTGGGCCAGAGGCACGTAGTGAAGCGGGCACCGTCACCAACCCCCTTCACAGACAGGCCAGCATGCCCAGGACACACACAGCTCAGGCAGTGGCAGTGCCCAGACTTCAACTCCACATCACAATTTGACTCGGCATCCCCAAGCTCTTTTGCTTGGATCAATAAATAGTATCACCCAGGGTGGACAGAAATAGCCTAAAATAATGTTTCCTCTAGACCTATGGAGTTGAAGTTTCTCCAGCACACACAGCTGGGGATAGACCACAAGCCAAGTGTGCTGGCTGCAGCCTGCACACAAGGGATAATGAAAGTGCCGCCGTACAGAATCTTAAAAAAAAAATCACTCAATAAAATGTATGTCAGGTTGTGCTATCGACGAACTGCCTTTACTATCCACCCTTTGGTAAAGTCTACATACCCTCTCCCTTGGTTCCTCTGGCAGCTGCGTTCACCACTGAGATGCATAGCAGCATCTTGATAGTGACCCCAAACAAAAACGACCAAAACAACAGCATTAATATAAAGATATATTCCATAAAAGAGTTTGGCAGTCAAAGAGAAGCATCACACTTCCTAAAAACACAAGCATTCTTCTCCTAGTCTACAGAAAATTGTAAAAAAAAAAAAAAAAGAAAAGAAAGAAAAGAGAAAGGAAAAAAAGATGATGACATCATCATCAACAGCCACTGGTATACACCACACTAGAATGTACACTCCAGCAAGTAACTGAAGGTTGCACTCAATCCCTGAACGATGAGAGAAGTGGTATGAGCTATGGCAAAGCATTAGAAAGCAGCCCAGCTGGACAAATGTCCCAGCTATCCCCAGGGGTGTTACTCACTATACTTCATTTCCAAGAGCAGGCCCCAGAACAGCCCTGACGGGAAGGGTGGACCACTCACCACTGATATCCTATGGTGGGGGGCGGTCACCACTTAAGTCAGAAACAAAACGCCAGAGCTTCTGACCAGCTGCAGCCTGGGGTCATGGCTTGGCCCTGGGTCTGGCTGCAGAACGGCTGTCCAGAGAGAGACAAATGGCAGGCTGGCCAGTCCTGGGTACCCAGCCGAAAGAGAAGCCCTGGCCAACAGTTTCGGGCTGGCCACCTTGGGCTAAGGCTCCCCAGGCTTGCAGTGGGGAGGGTCAGGATTCAAATTCTGGCTGACAGTTTCAGTAGCACCAAGGACAGAAGACAGTGAGGCCACACTGGGGAGTGGGCGAGTGGGCGAGTGCTTGTGTGTGGGATGCATGGAGGGAGGCTGCAGTATATGGAAGGGAAGGAGAGGCTGTTACGGGCTGGTTCTTAAGACATTCAAGGGGACTCAAAGGGTCGGCTCCAGCCGTGGACACCATGTAAGGCTGCTCAAAGAAGAATGCTGGAGGAGAGGAAGAGGAAGTGAAATGGTGTGAGAACATTCTTACCCCTATAAATAAACTATTTACACACTTTAAGAAAAGGAGAGCCGGCTCTCAGTGAAGAACCATGTCCACCGCCCCACCATCGCCACCAGGGCTTAATGCTGTCAAGACCAGAGGCAGTTCTGGCACCAGGAGAACAGCTGGCAGACATGGCGGGGCAGTGGACAAGGCACTCCCGTGGCACCAGTCCACGCACTGGCTCAGGCTTACTTCACTTGAACATGGCTGAGGATCCTGCAAACAACCCCTGATGTGTGCATGTCCCCGCAGACCACAATGGCACTCAGAGGCCCAGCAGGGCCCCGTCTGCCTCCCCAGTTACAGGCAGGTCCCCGTGCTGCTTGGCTTGATGGAAAGAAATGCCCTGTCCATGTCTTCAGGTCCCTCTACCCACGGCCCACCCACAGATGTGGATGACCCAAAGCAGATGTTTGGACGCCAGTGGAAAGGGGGCCAGGGTGTCCTGCAGACGTCCTGCAGAGCTGCAGGGGGACTGAGTCAAGCCCTCCTGGCAGCCTTCTCTGTCCTTCTGAGTCACAGGAGCCTTCTCTGTCCTTCAGAGTCACCACTCCCACATAAAGACACATTCTGTCTCTGGGTAGACCCCAGCAGGGATGCAATCACAAGTTTGGGCAGGTAACAAGGGGACCCCTTGGTCTTCAGCACCAGCAAGGAGAAACAGAGAGGTCATATCACGCTGATGCTGAAGATGGAGTGCTGGCTCCAGGGGTGTCGGCTCCTCTCCCTCTGGATGTAGGGCTGACGGCAAAGAAAGGCTCTGGCCTCCCAGCGTGGCTCAGCTCGGCTCCCTCAACTCTTCAGAAGTGATGGCCGGCCTTCACCGCCTCGATGTCTGATATCAGGGTCCTCGCCAAGAAGATGCCAAATATCTGAAACCAACACCAGCAGAGTCAGCAGCCATCACTGGGGCCCAAAGGCAGAGGGCAGGGAGTGGAGGGTGTGGTTGGGGGTTCCCACTGCACACCTCTCCTCACCCCTCCACTGCAAATGAGGGTGAAGAGACGGTACCACAAGCAAGTGGCACAGCACAGCCGCCCCTCCCGCCAAATGGGGGTCCTGAGGTCTAGTTTGTTACATCCTCAGATCCTAGAAGAGGCAAACCACAGGCACCACAAGCAAAACAGACACTCTGCCCTGCCTCCAACATGATTAAGTGCGTCACACACCATGGGGCAGGACACGCCTGTCCCTGGGTTAAACCAAAAATAACAGGGTCACCCTGACTGGTTCTGATTCCCAAGATAATACATCTTGAATGTTTCCTGTAAACATCTATTCCATAATAAAACCAAGGCCATCCTCAATGTTGGCTGTGCTAATGTCTGAAGATCCATCCCAACCTTGGTGAGCAGGGAGTGAGAGGAGATGTTCTTTTAACCTGAACAGACGAACATGAACTTGGTGACCTCTGGAAATGGCTTTTTTCCCCTTTAAATTTTTGTGTGGTTCTAATTTAGCTAGTCGGTCCTTCTGAAGTCTGATTCTTCCCTTGCCCATTTTGCAAATAACTTGTTTCTTTCCTTTTCCAGTTGCTTTTTCCTAACTCTTAGTCTTCCTTGAAGAAGACCAAGAAGGTATGTGTGGGTGGCTGGTGGCCCTGGGTGGGTCTACCTCGGTCACCCTCTTCAAGGCAAGGACAGAGTCAAACATTTTCTAAATGGTGTATTTTCCATACAAGAACTGCATCAGTGGACCCAAAAGCTGCAGCTTCTTAATATAAGCCTTGAACAGCACTGGAAAGACTCCTGGTTTCCCTGATCACTGAATTCTCGACTTTCTCTGCCAGTTCTCCTGGCCATCACCAACCAGCCCAGTCACCCTAGGCCTCACTGCCTGCTTGGCCACCAACATTCTCCCATGTGTGAAACCTGGTTCAAATCAACAAGCACAGCCTGTGAGGGCAAAGGATGCCATAAATGGCAGCAGGCCTCAGAGGATGTCTCATGGACAGGGAAGATGCCTGACAGCCCCAGCCCAAGAGCCAGAAACAGGAGGAGAGGTCCTGGGGTGAGTGCAAACATATGAGCCTCAGGCCACCCTCAGGCCCCAGCTGACCAAGAGTTTTGCCTCCGTCTGCAGTGCTTGACGGCCTACCCCGAGCACACTCCTCACCCACCTCCACACAGGCAGTGAACCTTCTACAGCCCATCAGGCCCTCAGGAGAGAGCAACCAACAGGACCTGTGCAGGGCCACAAGCCTCTCCCAGCCTGCCCCTGCCCAGAGGGGTCCCCTGTAGGTAGCATTTATGAAACCCACCATTCTCCTCCCCAATATGCTCACATACATACACTCTCTCAGCCTTGGACATCCAACGGAATCCCTTTTTTCCTTCTGCAAGGTTCCTTAATACCACACCCACGCACTCTACACTAAGGGCCCAATCTTCTCAAATGAAAAAATGCTGCCTGCCAATCCTACAGGCTCCTGGGACACACCTGCAGCAGCGAGATGGCAATGAAGATGCCGGCCACAATGTAAATGTTCCTCGGGAGCCAGCTCTCCAGCGCCTGGATGCAGCCCTTCGTGAAGATGGACTCGTCCCACTTGCTCTTCAGCTGCAGGGAAACACCACAGGGGCCTGAGCCTTTGGCAAGCATGATATTCCCACCCCGGTCCCCTAGAAAGCCCTGGCAGGGAGCAGGGCAAAGCAGGGTGGGAACGAGGGATCTGGAAGTCAGGCACGGAGGACTCTCCAGGAGACACTATCCAGCTCGTCTCAGCCTCTGCCCTTGCTGGACACCTTGTGATCATACCGCCTGTCTGACCAAAGGCTCCCTGGCTGTTTCCCTTCAGGTGTCCAGAGATTTAAAGACCAACTTTCTCAAGATACCTGTCCCCAACATCCACATCTGGAGAAAGAGAAGGGGCTTGAAGGCTCAGAGGAGGATGTGTCTTTAAAGGGAAACCTGGAAAAGGGGGTCCAGAGTTTCCCGAGAAGGGAGGGAAGGAAGGTGGCTTCTTGGAGCAGACATCCCACTGGTAAGCTCAGCTCCAGGCAACAGAGCCAACAGGCAACAGTCACCAGCTGACTGGCCCCTCCAGTGCTGAACCTGGTGGGGCATCAGTAACCGCCCCAGCACACACCCAGCCCTGCCCACCCCACACAGAGCGATTGGCCCCAGCCCCCTGACCTATCAGCCTCCTCCATGGCAACACGATGGTGCATTAATTCACTTTGGAGGTGTTAGGGGCTAAATCGTGTCAGCTAAAAATTCATATGCTGAAGTCCTAACCCCCAGGACGTCAGAACATAATTGTATTTGGAGGCAGGCTTTTACAGAGATAATTAAGCTAAAATGAAGCCATCAGGGTGGCCCCTAATCCATTATGACAAGCATCCTGCTAAGAAGAGGAGATCAGGACACAGACATGCACAGAGGGGAGCCACATGAGGACACAGACAGCCACCTGCAGCCAGGAGAGAGGCCTGGGACAGACCCTTCCATCACAGCCCTCTGAAGACACCCACCCCACCAGCACCTTGATCTTAGACTTCTAGCCTCCAAACTGTGAGAAAATAAATGTCTGCTGTGACCTAAATTTCCATCTGTGGTATGTTGTGACAGCGGCCTTAGCAAATTAATATAAGTGGCAAAAAAAATTCATAATTAGGGACACTGATGTTGATACAGGTTCTTATCTTAGTCCATTGAGCCAACTATAACAAAATACTATAGATTAGGTGGCTTATAAACAACAGAAATTTCTTTCTCACAGTCCTGGAGGCTGGGAAGTTCAAGATCAGAGCACTGGCAAATTTGGTGTCTGATGAGGGCGCACTTTCTGGTTCATGGACGGCAGCCTCTCACTGTGTCTTCACACAGTGGAGTGACAAACTCTCTGAGCCTCTTTCATAAGGGCACTCATCCCACTCATAAGGACTCTGTCCTCCTGACCTAATCCCCTCCCAAAGGCCTTATCTCTCAATACCATCACACTGGGGTCTAAGTTCCAACATGTAAATTTTGGGGAGATGCAAACATTCAGTTTATAGCAGCTTCTCCCTGTGAAATGTAGGTCCCTAAAGGACAGCTCCCCAAGCTGTAGGGACACATCCCCCATATCCACGGTGAACAGGAGGCGTCTCTGCAGATTCCTCGAGACTCCTCCCTTTTAGAATAGCAGTCATTCATATCACCAAAGACCACCAGAACAAGCACTGGAGTGGGGTAAGGTCTTGCTTCCCTTTGCATCCAAGAGCACACTCCCTACAGCCTAAAGGAAGTTCCGGAGGACAGGGCCTCCACATGGAGGCCAGAGCAAGGCACATACACTCCTGCAGCTGTCCCCTTAACAAGAGACACCTTCTGGGACTCAAGGAGCCTCCTAAAAATGCAGTCTTTTTCCCTCAAAACTTCTATCCCACCTCTTTAAATGCAGCAACTCCCAGGTGTTGAGACTGCAGTTCACAAGGCTTAGAATCACTATTTCTGCTCCCAGGAGTCCTGCTGCCAACCCGGGAAGCAGTGTGTGTGTGTCACTGTGCCCGTGCTCAGCTTAGGTGCCATCAGGAGCTTCACTGCCCCTAGTTCTCCCACTGCAATTTGCACTTGCACTACATCAGGATGTTGAACCATAGGGAATAAAACCTAAAGAACTCTTAAAGTTGTAGACACTGGAGTGCTCACCTGAATCCTAACATCATATCCACACTGTGTGTTCACAACTTTTTGCTGCAAGAAAAGCAGAAAAATTAGTTACTTTTGTTGTCTTAAGAAGCTGGTGGTAAGAGGCTCTGGAAAAGTCACAACCAAACACTAGCAACCAATTGTGCAAATTCCATTACAGATACGTCCTTCAGTCACACTACCAACTAATCCTTCAGGCCAGGACAGCGTGGCAAACTTTCTCTGTGAAGGGCTAGAGAGTGACTATTTCAGACACAGACTCAACTCTGCTTTTGTTGCATGACAGCAAGCACTGACAATATAAAAACAAACAGGAATGGCTATATTTCAAGAAAACTTTATGGACATTGATATTTGAATTTCATATAATATTCATGTACCACAAGTAATCCTTCTTTTGATTTATTTCCAACCATTTAAAAACACCTGAAAGCATTCTTAGCTCACAGGTCATAGAAAAACAGCAGGCCACATTTGGCCTGGCGGGGTGGCACAGTTTGCTAGGAGGTAATGCCTATATTTGGAGGTAAGAACTATACATGCTAAAAGTAACACTTATGAAACTGGTACATTTCACAGTCACAGTGGAGACCTCAGAAGATCTGTGCAACTTCAGCAAATCTGAGCCTCTCCTGGGCTGCAGAACTTGCCTATAGGTGATGCTCTGCCTTCTAAGAGCCTGTAACCCAGTACCTGGCTTTACATAACTGTACCGAGAGCTGGTAACAGGCCCAGTTCTGCTCAGGCTCAGTTTGGGCAAAATTCAGAGCTCCTTCACAGGTCACCCAAAGAGCCTAGCTTCTGGAACCCAAGAACGCTGGCCTTGGATTAGGAATGAAAATAAAGAAAAAAAAAAAAAAAAAAAAAAAAAAAAAAAAAAAAAAAAAAAAAAAAAAAAAAAAAAAAAAAAAAAAAAAAAAAAGGACAGGACAGGCGCAGTGGCCCATAGCTGTAATCCCAGCACTTTGGGAGGCTAAGATGGGCAGATCACTTTGTGCCCAGGAGTGCAAGATCAGCCTGGGCAACACGGTGAAACCCCATCTACAAAAAATACAAAAGTTAGCCGGGTGTGGTGGCTCAGGCCTGTGGTCCCAGGTACTAGGGAGGCTGAAGCTGGAGAATTGCTTGAGCCTGGGGAAGCAGTGGTTGCACAATGAGCTGAGATCGCACTGCTGTACTCTAGCCTAAGCAACAGAGTGAGACCCTGTCTCCAAAAAAAAAAAAAAACAGAAATAACTAGCCGGGTGTGGTGGTGTGCATCTGTAATCCCAGCTACTCAGGAGGCTGAGGCCAGAGAATTGCTTGAGCCCAGGGAAGCAGTGGTTGTACAGAGAGCTGAGATCACGCCGCTGCACTCCAGCCTGAGCGACAGAGTGAGACCCTGTCTCAACAACAACAACAACAAAAACCCTAGAAAAAAACAAAAAAACAGAAAATAATTAGCTGGGTGTGGTGGCATGCATCTGTAATCCCAGCTACCCTGGAGGCTGAGGCAGGAGAATCATTTGAACCTGGGAGGCAGAGGTTGCAGTAAGGTGAGATTGCTTCACTGCACTCCAGCCTGAGCGACAGAGTAAGACCCTGTCTCAAAAAAAAAAAACAGAAAAGAATTCTCTGCTACTGTTTCCCAGTTAATGATGTGTGCCCACAGCCACTGTGTGCTGTTGAGTTCTAGGCATTTGCTCCAGAAAAGGAACAGTGAAGACGGCTAAGCAGGCCTTATTTCCCTCATAGCTCTTGGCCAGCTACCCCGAGTGAGAGCCCTCCAGGTAGGAATAATACTGTTTTTCTTCTGCCTCACCCAGAACACTAAGGCCAGGGTGGGTCACGCAAGCAATGTTCCTAGAATGTACAAGTATTGGATTTCTGAGCTGCGGCAGCCTTGAGGAGGGCGTGGAGAGAGTACACCTACTCCTCCGACCTGCTTGAGAGAACATCCCAGAGCACAAGAGTCAGGAAAGCTGTGGGCTTCAAGAAGGGCCAGCACAAGTCAACTCACCGCAGGATCCGGGACGCAGCAGGAAAAGGGGACCCCACACTTCTCTCGGCTGTAGCTGGCGCCACTGCAGTTGAAGTAGACGTTAAGGTCCCAGTCTTCAGGGCCATATGCACCACAGCACTGGTTCTGCAACCACAGAAGCCAGAACTGTCAAAGGCTCCAAGACAGGCCCACGGCTGCCCAGCACAGGGCAGCATTCTTGGTGAGGTCAGGCTAAGTCTGCTGGCATCTACCATGCAGAGAAATCACGGCCCGCCCAGCTACCTCCCATGTGTAGAGACGCTAGGCTGGCAACCCAGGAAGCCCTTTGAGAAGAAAACAGCTGGGTGCGGTAGCTCAGGTCTGTAATCTCAGAGACTCAGGAGGCTGAGGTGGCGGGATGATTTGATCCCAGAAGCTGGAAACAAGTCTGGGCAACACAACAAGATGCCCCCTCACCCCCAATCAGAAAGAAGGGAAAGAAAACAAAAGAAAACAAAACAAAAGAAAAAGAGAGAAAAAAGGAGAGAGAGAAAGCGAGAGAGAGAGAGAGAGAGAAAGAAAAAGAAGGGAGGGAGGGAGGGAGGG